GCGCCACGCGGGGCCGCGGCGGCGCGTGCGCAGTGCGCCCCGAGGCGGGCGCCATGTTGCGGCCGGCGGGGCCGCGGGGCGGGGGGTCGTGCTCCCTTTGGTGGGGGAGGGGGAAGCGGGAGGCGCCTTCGCGCCGCGCCTGCGCAGTGCGGGGCCGGGCGGGGGCCGCGGGGAGCGCCGAGGGCGGCACTGAGTGCGAGGGAGATGGGAGCGGGGTGTAGGAAAGGGRTCTCCWAGGRTGGCAGTCTGTGTGAGGGAGATGGGAGTGGGGTGTAAGGAAAGGGATCTCCTAGGATGGCAGTCTGTGCGAGGGARATGGGAGCGGGGTGTAGGAAAGGGKTCTCCAAGGATGGTAGTCTGTGTGATGGAGATGGGAGCGGGGTGTAAGGAAAGGGATGTCCAAGGACAGCAGTGAGTGCGAGGGAGATGAGAGAGGGGTGTAAGGAAAGGGCTTCCCAAGCCACTGCCCCTGGATGACCGATTGGATACAGCCTAATCCGCTTGAGCAGCAAAGGTGGAGCTGCAGTGTGAACATCCCTTTGGGGAAGCAGAACTTCTTCATTTCAGCCTCCCACCCTCCGTTTCCCTTTCAGTCTATACTGCTGTGTTGCCACGCAGTTATTTTTGGTGAATGTGCAACGAAATGGCCRGTATTTGTGCTTTGCGAGTAGTTTCCCCGAAAGTCGTAACAATAAAAGTAGTTTTTGTGAAGCCTTGTAAATGGGACTGTGTTAAAGACAGAGTATTTGAAACGTAGGAAACAAAGACCTGCTGCTTTGTCTCTACAGCCAAAATTCCAGTTCCGCTGGAATCAGTTCCCAGGCACCAGCGCTTGCTACAATGTGCCCTGACACAATAGGCTTGAAATGTGACATCAAGCCCAGTGCTGAGAAAGTGAGTTGAACACTTASGTTTCCGCTGATCCCAAAAGATGTTTAACATGCGTGGACTTCAAAAGCACACCAGCAATTTTAGTAGCATTTCAATACCTTGACAACAGCTCCGCACAGTGAAACGGGTTTATTTGTTTTCTTTGCATGTGGCAGCTGGAGTTGCGCATGGAGATGTGACTGTGTGCAGCAGCCGAGCTGGTTGTCATCAGCAAGTGACCCATAAGAAAACAAAATAAACTTACAGAGGTGAATGCTAGAATTATTAAACATCCTGAACTTAGGAAAATGCATTAGCYGGAGTCCTTTTAGTTGTTAGTTGTATTTTCTGGTTATATGACAGCGCACAGGCTTTGATGATTGTGGTGTTTGTAAATACTCTATCAGTTGACTAATTCCTATAAAATCTCTGATAAAAATCTCTCCCTATAAATAAATATACAGCAAGCTCACAGTGTGAATTATCATTTGTGTTTCTGAGGTGCTTCTTTCCTTGAGAGAACTCAAGGCACAAAATGACCGCAGTCATAAAGAAGAGGTGAACTRGAACTGCCTGGTTTTCCACTCTCAGTTCTGGACACCTCATTCCTAGAGGCGTCAGGGCCCTGCCAGGTAAAAACTCCTCCTGTTTCTGGGACTGTGATACCCACACAGGAACTGCTCAGTTGGGCTGATCCTAAGACACTGTGACCCAGCTCAGTTAGGGATAGTCTCCAGGGAGCTCTTTCATGTTTGAAGATTGAGTGAGGAGGAATCTTTGGATGTGCTCATACCACACAGCAGATGTTTTCTCTTGCTCAACTGTTGCCTGGCCAGCTAYGTTCATTCTGTACTTACAGTTTTGGGAGGCAAAGGTAATTTCTACTACAAGACAGCTACATGACAAAAGATTACTGCTGTGTACACACAGAGTAATCTCCTGGTGCCTYCCCTTTACTCTTTTTTGACCTCCCTACAGACTTGCAATTAGGTTTTAGCAGAAACCACTGGTCTGATCTGGTGAGACCTTGCTATCAGAGCCTATATGCCACTGCTCAGGGTTGCATTGCCGTGAACGTGCCCCATCAGGTTCACGTGTGAGAGAATGTGCTTTCTTTGCCTCATTTGCTCACTGTTTATCTGCCTCCTACCTAGCCTTTCCACTGGAGTATAAACTCCCTAARCCAGCAGAAGCCAAACCCTGCAAATAAAAGAATAATTTCCTGCTGCTTTATGGGACGGAACTGACTCACTGAGTAGTTATATGAGTGCCAGTGCAAGCAGAGGGGAAGGTCAGCACTGCTGCAGTCCTGGGCTGGGAGAAGGGTGCTAAAGGAATGGGACAACGTCCCTTTTAAATAGCAGCACCAGATCAGAGCAGCCACCTGCTAGGGAACTGCTGTGAGCTTAAAACTAGCTTAAGACTACATAATTGTCTGGACCGTGAATTATGGCTGCCGTGAGCTCTAACAAAGCAGAGGATCCTGGTGATTTTGTTTCATTGCTAAAAGCRGCCTGTAAGGTGT